ATGGTCAACTATGGGACCTTATATAGACAGGCGTGTGCCTTTCCAAATCATGTCCAATCAATTTAATTGACCACAGGTGGACTCCAATAAAGTTGTAGAAACATCTCAAGGATGATGAATGGAAACAGGATGCACCTGAGCTCAATTTCAAGTCTCATAGCAAAGGGTCTGAATACTTACGTAAATAAGGTATCTGTTTTTTTCTGAGGTATTTTTTTTGAATAAGGCTGTAACGTAACAAAATTAGGAAAAAGTCAATATTTTCGGCTGGCTGGCTGTCTACACACAAATATACACACCAAAAAAATTCAATGAACCATAAACAGTGAATGAACATGCACCTGTGGAACTGTCGTTAAGACACTAACAGCTTACAGACGGTAGGCAATTCATGTCACAGTTATGAAAACTTAGGACACTAAAGAGGCCTTTCTAGTGACTCTGAAAAACACCAAAAGAAAGATGCCCAGGGTCCCTGCTCATCTGCGTGAACGTGCATTAGGCATGCTGCAAGGAGGCATGAGGACTGCAGATGTGCCAGGGCAATAAATTGCAATGTCCGTACTGTGAGACGCCTAAGACAGGGCTACAGGGAGATAGGACGGACAGCTGATCGTCCTCGCAGTGGCAGACCACGTGTAACAACACCTGCACAGGATCGGTACATCCGATCATCACACCTGCGGGACAGGTACAGGATGGCAACAACTGCCCGAGTTACACCAGGAACGCACAATCCCTCCATCAGTGCTCAGATTGTCCGCAATAGGCTGAGAGAGGCTGGACTGAGGGCTTGTAGGCCTGTTGTAAGGCAGGTCCTCACCAGACATCACCGGCAACAACGTCGTCTATGGGCACAAATCCACCGTCGCTGGACCAGACAGGACTGGCAAAAAGTGCTCTTCACTGACGAGTCGCGGTGTTGTCTCACCAGGGGTGATGGTCGGATTTGCGTTTATCGACGAAGGAATGAGCGTTACACCGAGGCCTGTACTCTGGAGCGGGATCGATTTGGAGGTGGAGGGTCCGTCATGGTCTGGGGCGGTGTGTCACAGCATCATCGGACTGAGCTTGTTGTCATTGCAGGCAATCTCAACGCTGTGCGTTACAGGGAAGACATCCTCCTCCCTCATGTGGTACCCTTCCTGCAGGCTCATCCTGACATGACCCTCCAGCATGACAATGCCACCAGCCATACTGCTCGTTCTGTGCGTGATTTCCTGCAAGACAGGAATGTCAGTGTTCTGCCATGGCCAGCGAAGAGCCCGGATCTCAATCCCATTGAGCACGTCTGGGACCTGTTGGATCGGAGGGTGAGGGCTAGGGCCATTCCCCCCAGAAATGTCCGGGAACTTGCAGGTGCTTTGGTGGAAGAGTGGGGTAACATCTCACAGCAAGAACTGGCAAATCTGGTGCAGTCCATAAGGAGGAGATGCACTGCAGTACTTAATGCAGCTGGTGGCCACACCAGACACTGACTGTTACTTTTGATTTTGAGCCCCCCTTTGTTCAGGGACACATTATTCAATTTCTGTTAGTCATGTCTGTGGAACTTGTTCAGTTTATGTCTCAGTTGTGAATCTTGTTATGTTCATACAAATATTTACACATGTTAAGTTCGCTGAAAATAAACACAGTTGACAGTGAGAGGACATTTCTTTTTTATCTATCTCAATCTACAACAGGATTATCTATTTTGGATGCAATTGGAATGGAGTTGATGGAGAGCGAGAAAGAGAGTGCTTGCGCGTGCACTAATTTAAAGCAACGATATTCGAGTGATAGGCTGTTTTAAAACTCTGCAGCTGCAATAAAAATTAAGAAAAATCTTTACAAAGCCAGATGGAGATGGTAAATTAGACACACATTCAGTTTTTATAGTACTGTAGCATAGGCTATGCTGCAGCAAATGTAGGCCTACCTGTCACAAGAATAAAAGTTACCATGATGAGATTATAGGGCTACACATGCTGCTCCATACTGAGATGGGCTGTCTGTCCCCACCCTGAGCGTTGATTCATCATGCAGAGGACATAGAGAAGCCAGATTTAGACATCGCATATAATTTAACTGTTCAATTTCACACCATGCTGTTCATATAAATAAATATTAATTAACCGGTTTCTCGCAGTTATTTATTCCGGAAGAAGGGAGTGGTTTTCGGCGGGTAAATCTCGGTAACCGGGTTTTCCTCCATTCAAGCATGGACTAATTCCATGTGCAATAGTGTTTAACATGATTTTTGAATGACTACCTCACATTTATTTGTATTTATTTTACCTTTATTTAACTAGGCAAGTCAGTTAAGAACAAATTCTTATTTACAATGACGGCCTACACCGGCCAAACCCGGACGACGCTGTGCCAATTGTGCGCCGCCCTATGGGACTCCCAATCACGGCCGGTTGTGATACAGCCTGGAATCGAACCAAGGGGTCTGTAGTGACACCTCAAGCACTGAGATGTAGTGCCTTAGACCACTGCGCCACTCGGGAGCCCAATTATCATACAATTATCTGTACGGTCCCTCAGTCGAGCAGTGGATTTCAAACAGATTGAACCACAAAGGGCACCTATTGGTAGATGGGTAAAATAAATAAAAAAATTTTTTTTTACATTGAACTCCCTTTGAGCATGGTGAAGTTATTAATTACACTTTGGATGGTGTATCAATACTCCCAGTCACTACAAAGATACAGGCCTCCATCCTAACTCAGTTGCTGGAGAGGAAGGAAACCGCTCAGGGATTTCACCATGAGGCCGTTGGTGACTTTAAAACAGTTACAGAGTTTAATGGCTGACATAGGAGAAAACTGAGGATGGATCAACAACATAGTAGTTACTCCATAATACTAACCTAATGGACAGAGTGGAAAGAAGGAAGCCTGTACAGAAGAGGAAAAAAATCTTAAAACATGCATCCTGTTTGCAACAAGGCACTAAAGTAATACTGCACAAAATGTGGCAAAGCAATTAACTTTTTATGTTTGGGGCAAATCCAATATAACACATTACGTAGTACCACTTTCCATATCTTCAAGCATAGTGGTGGCTGCATCATGTTATGGGTATGCTTGTAATCGTTAAGGATTGGGCCGTTTTTCAGAATAAAGAGGAAATGGAATGGAGCTAAGCACAGGCAAAATCCTAGAGGAAAACCTGGTTTAGTCTGCTTTCCACCAGACACTGAGAGATTAATTCAACTTTCAGCAGGACAATAACCTAAAAACACAAGGCCAAATCTACACTGGAGTTACTTACCAAGAACACAGTGAATATTCCCGAGTGTCTGAGTTACAGTTTTGACAAATCTATGGTAAGACCTGAAAATGGTTGTCTAGCAATGATCAACAGCCAATTTGACAGCGCTTGAAGAATTCTAAAAAATAATAAAATGTGCAAATGTTGCACAATCCAGGTGTGGAAAGCTTGTCGAGACTTATCCATTAAGACTCACAGCTGTAATTGCTGCTAAAGGTGCTTCTATAAAGTATTGACTCAGGGGTGTGAATACTTATAAATTAGATATTTCTGTATTTCATTTTCAATAAATGTGCCCAAATTTCTATAAACATGTTTTCACTTTGTCATTATGGTGTATTGTGTGTAGATGGGTGAGAAACACCCATTTTGAATTCAAGCTTTAACCCAACTAAATGTGGAATAAATCAATGAGTATGAATACTTTCTGATGGCACCAAGTCCCAAATGGAATGCAAACCGATTGTAATTTGTAGCACCATACACTCCACAATTCAACCAAAACAAGCTCAATAACTCAATGCATGCACACACTCCTACTAAATATGCATTCACCTGTATTTTGAGCAGGCCTATAACATCTTACATTACCCAGTTTATCAAGAAATGTACCATTAAAATACAATTATTAACATTATGTTCTGTAATTAGTTTTTACCAATCTAAGTCACATTTATTGTTTGATAAAAATTTAGCATTAATCTATGGAAAATGTCATCAACATTTTCAAATGTTATGATATAGATTATCAGCCTAACATATCTACCATCAGCCTCCTTGGCCCACAAAAATCAGTATCGGCACCACAACAAATCCATATCGGTCGTTCTCTACAGTAAATGTATTGACAGAGACGCCTAATAAATAGCTGGAGCTCCTTACAAGTAAACAAACCTAGATCATCTTTTATGTCTCTAGTCTTCATCCTGACTGAACACAAAGGATCACGGACTAGGCTACTTCAGGAAATAGGCTTAACGGTTTCCTCCGTTATAATGACATTGTGCTCAGATCACTCCTCTAGTGTTCCAGACACAGGGGCTAAGTCTACAGACAAATCCTAGCCCCTAGGCATCTTCAGATCTATGTTAAGCGCCAAGAGAATATGGGCTAAGGGTTCTTCCTGGACCAGAAGCCACTAAGGTAAGCCATAGGACCATGACACAGCACTCCCTCTTCGAGTTGCCTGCCCACTACCAATCCATCCCCACTCTAAACCCAGAGCACCAATCACCATTCTCCAATCACCCGTCTTTTCCACATTCACACAGAGATCCCAAATTCAAAGACTCCATCTTCAGAAATACATGACTCCTCCATAGTTCATTAGTCTTAACAGACCTGGCCTTCCAAGGGCCTCAGATAGTTTGAACCAGTCTCCTCCCGCTCTCCGAAACTCACTTACACACAAAAGACACATCCCCTCTACTCTCCCTCTCTCACTGAAAAGAACTCCCAGAACTGGCCTCTCTGCCTGTGAGTAGCTCTCAGCACACATTTCAGTCTAACTCCCATTAATGAGTGTGCATTGCTGACAAGGAAAAGCACTGACTAAATATAGTCAAAACCTACACCGAGCACTGAGACGGAGGGAGGGAGGGGTGGACCATGCACGAAAAGAGGGAGCAAAGGGAACTTTCTTGGAGTGTCCCATCCCAGTAAAACAGAGCTTGAGATATGAGTCACGACAAGAGGGAGGGAGAGGATGGGGGGGTGGAGAGAGTGGGGTTAAAGGGAGACTAACCAGACAGCAGCATATAGTTACCCTCAGACTGTTGGGAGCTCATCCTAGAGGCACGGTTCCCCATCTCAACGGCGTCCTGAGAGTGTGAGAGAGGAGAACACGGGGGAGAAGAGGGTATCGTCTTAACCCTTTCTCTGAAGTCCTCCTCCTCTCCGTCTACAGCTGGGTTATGCCCTCAAAACTGCTCAAATACTTTTTACTACTCTACTCCCTCATTCACTTGCTGGCTCTCGGTCCATCCTTCCCTATTTCTCTCACAAAGTGTATCCACAAGTAGCCCATGTCAGCAATGTGTATGTACAGTTGAAGTCAGAAGTTTACATACACCTTAGCCAAATACATTTAAACTCAGTTTCACAATTCCTGACATTTAATCCTAGTAAAAATTCCCTGTCTTAGGTCAGTTAGGATCACCACTTTATTTTGAGAATGTGAAATGTCAGAAAAATTGTAGAGAGAATGATTAATTTCAGCTATTATTTCTTTCATCACATTCCCAGTGGGTCAGTATTTGGTAGCATAGCCTTGAAATTGTTTAACTTGGGTTAAACGTTTCGGGTAGCCTTCCACAAGCTTCATTGTCCATTTGGAAGACCCATTTGCGACCAAGCTTTAACTTCCTGACGGATGTCTTGAGATGTTGCTTCAATATATCCATAATTTTCCTTCCTCATGATGCAATCTATTTTGTGAAGTGCACCAGTCTCTCCTGCAGCAAAGCACCCCCACAGCATGATGCTGCCACCCCCGTGCTTCACGGTTGGGATGGTGTTCTTCGGCTTGCAAGCGTTCCCCTTTTTCCTCCAAACATAATGATGGTCATTATGGCCAAACAGTTCTATTTTTGTTTCATCAGACCAGAGGACATTTCTCAAAAAAGTACGATCTTTGTCCCCATGTGCAGTTGCAAACCGTAGTCTGGCTTTTTTATGGCGGTTTTGGAGCAGTGGCTTCTTCCTTGCAGAGCGGCCTTTCGGGTTATGTCGATATAGGACTCGTTTTACTGTGGATAGATACTTTTGTACCCGTTTCCTCCAGCATCTTCAAAGGGTCCTTTGCTGTTGTTCTGGGATTGATTTGCACTTTGACACCAAAGTACGTTCATCTCTAGGAGACAGAACGTGTCTCCTTCCTGAGCGGTATGACGGCTGCGTGGTCCCATGGTGTTTATATTTGCGTACTATTGTTTATACAGATGAACGTGGTACCTTCAGGCATTTGTAAATTGCTCCCAAGGATGAACCTATAGGTCTTGGCTGATTTATTTTGATTTTCCCATGATGTCAAGCAAAGAGGCACTGCGTTTGAAGGTAGGCCTTGAAATACATCCACAGGTACACCTCCAATTGACTCAAATTATGTCAATTAGCCTATCAGAAGCTTCTAAAGCCATGACATCATTTTCTGGACTTTTCCAAGCTGTTTAAAGGCACAGTCAACACATGATTCCATATGTGTCATTTCATAGTTTTGATGTCTTCACTATTATTCTACAATGTAGAAAATTGTACAAATAAAGAAAAAACCTTGAATGAGTAGGTGTCCAAACTTTTGACTAGTGCTGTATGCATGCATGTGTGAGAGAGACCTCGTTTAAAAATGGCACTGATCTGGATTTCCATCTAGGAGGTTAGTAAATCACTCTGGGCTAAAATACCCCCCTCCCACCCGTATTCCATCACCACAAAGCCTGGGAGGGTAGGGGGAACTGTTTTTCACCTGGCCATGAGCTCAGTGGTGTTGCCAGTGCCACCTAATGGATCGGAGGCCTATCACAGGTATTCTATGGCTCTACAGATTGTGCTGCTTATGCCAGTTTTCCACCGTGGTACCTGGTTGATTCTTACTCCCATCAACACTACAGCTTTGCTGTGAAAAAACAGGTCAGAACCAAACCATGCTCCAGAGAGCTGTATTGACACCAGAGTTAACCTACTAGTTCACCAACAGAGGGCCCAAACAAACACTCATCTTATTTCACACTGAAAGATGCAATCAGAACGCAGCTGTCCCCCCCCAAAAAACATGTCTCCCGACTCAAGTCTAGTTAAAGAAAAAAAAGAAAACATGTTGCGGTCTCATCAGGGCTAGATTGTTAAGAGTGTGTGTGTGCGGTGCTGAAGCCAAGTTCTCGTCTCATTGTCACATGACCGACCAGTGAACAGGAGGATCATGTGCCAGACTGACCTCATGACATGTGACTTCTAGAATAAAGAGTGACACACCCCATGACAACCTTATGACGAGTCTGATAAAGATGCAACAACCATACGACTTCCTAAAAGAACAACTCCAAGAGGGTCAATAATAGACAATACCCACATTTCCTACAGTGATGACAGTACCTAAATCAGAGTGAAGCAAGTCTCAGTAGCCCCACTGCAGAGTTACAACTTGGTCTGTGGTCTTTACATATAGCACCTAATATGGGTGGAATTATTTTTTATTGAGAATGGCCCACTAAAATAATATATGTCATCCGTAGCCTGCACTCGAACAGCAAATGGAGGAAGCGTTTCCTGCGGTTACGTTTTTAATATGCCAGGTAAGCTACACCGGTTGTAAAGCGGATTAATGTGCTTAATTTTAAGAATTGAGCAATAAATATAACAGCACGAGAAACCTGGGATCCTCTTTTAAATAGTGGCCAGTCAAGACTCAGTTTTCACACGCGATTGTGCAATGACTGGGCTTATAAGAACACGTTTCACTAGGCTCTGTAGGCTATGTGCTCTCCAACCCTGTTTCAGGGGTCCTAGGCCTATAGGCTACGTTTGGAATTATTTGGCCACTTTAGCTGTGATGCAAACCGTATCAAAACATATAGGCCTATGGGCTAGGCTCCGATGCATGGGACTATGATTTGGAAAAGTCATGAGCTGTTTCTTGCCCTTTTAGACTGCACATGCTGGGCATCATTCACAAGTGATAATATTCTCACCCATCAGACTATTATCAATTTAATCTTGTCTTTACATATACAAAATAATATGTGTGAAATTAGTTGATTTAGAATGGGCCATTATCATGCACCGGTCAGAACAGAGGCAGGGGGAATAAAATATATGTCATCTATATGCACTTGAATAGCGAATGGAGGAAGCTTCTCCCACGGTTCATTTTCATGCCAGCTATGAGGAGCTGGCTCACGCTGCGCAACATGTGATCCTATTCCCCTCAAACTCTGAATGCCAGGGCTCTCAGGAAGTGTTTGATTTGATTGCATTGATGTCAGATAGATTAGTGTGGTCCTCTGTAGCTCAATTGGTAGAGCATGGCGCTTGTAACGCCAGGGTAGTGGGTTCGATCCCCGGGACCACCCATACGTAGAAATGTATGCACACATGTAAGTCGCTTTGGATAAAAGCATCTGCTAAATGGCATATTATTATTATTATTATATTAGAGGGACATTATAAACTGGGTGGTTCAAGCCATGAATGCTGATTGGCTTACAGCCGTGGTATATAAGACCGTATACCACGGTTATGACAAAACATTTATCTTTACTGCTCTAATTACGTTGGTAACCAGTTTATAATAGCAGTAAGGCACCTCGGGGGTTTGTGGTACAGTTGAAGTCGGAAGTTCAACTGTACCAGTTGTGGTTTGTGGTCCTCTGTAGCTCAGCTGGTAGAGCACGGCGCTTGTAACGCCAAGGTAGTGGGTTCGATCCCCGGGACCACCCATACACAAAAAAATGTATGCACGCATGACTAAGTCGCTTTGGATAAAAGCGTCTGCGAAATGGCATATTATTTTTTTATTATTATAAGTTTACATACACTTAGGTTGGAGTAATTAAAACGTGTTTTTCAACCACTTCACAAATATCTTGTTAACAAACTATAGTTTTGGCAAGTCGGTTAGGACATCTACTTTGTGCATGACGCAAGTAATTTTTCAAACAATTGTTTACAGACAGATTATTTCACTTATAATTCACTGTATCACAATTCCAGTGGGTCAGAAGTTTACATACACTAAGTTGACTGTGCCTTTAAACAGCTTGGGAAATTCCAGAAAATGATGTCATGCTTTAGAAGCTTCTGATAGGCTAATTGACATCATTTGAGTCAATTGGAGATGTACCTGTGGATGTATTTCAAGGCCTACCTTCAAACCCAGTGCCTCTTTGCTTGACATCATGGGAAAATCAAAATAAATCAGCCAAGAACTCAGAAAAAAAATGGTAGACCTCCACAAGTCTGGTTCATCCTTGGGAGCAATTTTCAAATGCCTGAAGGTACCACGTTCATCTGTACAAACAATAGTACACAATTATAAACACCATGGGACCATGCAGCCGTCATACCGCTCAGGAAGGAGACGCGTTCTGTCTCCTAGAGATGAACGTAACTTGGTGCGAAAAGTGCAAATCAATCCCAGAACAACAGCAAAGGACCTTGTGAAAATGCTGGAGGAAACAGGTACAAAAGTATCTATATCCACAGTAAATCGAGTCCTATATCGACATAACCTGAAATGCCGCTCAGCAAGGAAGAAGCCACTGCTCCTAAACTGCCATAAAAAAGCCAGACTACGGTTTGCAACTGCACATGGGGACAAAGATCATACTTTTTGGAGAGATGTCCTCTGGTCTGATGAAACAAAAATATAACTGTTTGGTCATAATGACCATCGTTATGTTTGGAGGAAAAAGGGGAACGCTTGCAAGCCGAAGAACACCATCCCAACCATGAAGCACGGGGGTGGCAGCATCATGCTGTGGGGGTGCTTTGCTGCAGGGGGGACTGGTGCACTTCACAAAATAGATGGCATCATGAGGAAGGAAAATTATGTGGATATATTGAAGCAACATCTCAAGACATCAGTCAGGAAGTTAAAGCTTGGTCGCAAATGGGTCTTCCAAATGGACAATGACCCCAAGCATACTTCCAAAGTTGTGGCAAAATGGCTTAAGGACAACAAAGACAAGGTATTGGAGTGGCCATCACAAAGCCCTGACCTCAATCCTATAGAAAATTTGTGGGCAGAACTGAAAAAGCATGAGCGAGCAAGGAGGCCTACAAACCTGACTCAGTTACACCAGCTCTGTCAGGAGGAATAGGCCAAAATTCACCCAACTTATTGTGGGAAGCTTGTGGAAGGCTACCCGAAACGTTTAACCCAAGTTAAACAATTTAAAGGCAATGCTACCAAATACTAATTGAGTATGTAAACTTCTGACCCACTGGGAATGTGATGAAAGAAATAAAAGCTTAAATAAATCACTCTAATATTATTCTGACATTTCACATTCTTAAAATAAAGTGGTGATCTTAAATGACCTAAGACAGGGAATTTTACTAGGATTACATGTCAGGAATTGTGAAAAACTGAGTTTAAATGTATTTGGCTAAGGTGGATGTAAACTTCCGACTTCAACTGTATATGGCAATATACCACAGCTAAGGGCTGTTCTCAGTCACAATGCAACGCGTGGTACCTGGATACAGCTGTAGTATATTGGCCATATACAGTTGTATCCAGGTACCACGCGTTGCATCGTGACTGAGAACAGCCTTAGCTGTGGTATATTGCCATATACCACACCCTCTCAGGCCTTGTTGCTTAAATAGAGCACTGAGTACACAGCCAAGTTTGGTAGGCTACTAATGACCATCAGTGCGCAGTTTTGGAGTAGCCTAGTTACCGTGACTCAACAATCACGTGGAATTTGACTGCGGTCATGACTCGTGGCTGCCGGTAATACGGTCACCGTAACAGCCCTAGTCACAACACCACCAAATTAAATCATAGACTGGTGCCACATACTAGGCATGTCAAATCTAGGGTGTGGGTTTGAGGGGATGAAATGAAGAGGCATTTCTGGAATATTCACCACTGCACTACATAGGCCCTTTTCAACTTCAATCCCTCACCAGCTAATAGGTACTTCTATCTAGCCTTCTAGTTCCCACTTCCTCCACTGTGAAAATCTGTGTAGGACTGTGTAGGTGAAAACAGTAAAGCGTATGCGTCACTTTGCCTATTGAAGAGCTAGGCCGGCGGAGCCATCACCATACTGCTTACACATATCCAGTCCTTTCAGGTGTTTTAAAACAGTGAATGGGAGAAAGAGCTAGCTAGGGGGCAAAATGGAAGCTGAGGGGGAGGTATGGGAGTGTTACACACCTCCAGAGCATCAGCCCCAAGACCAGTAGCTCCTGCCAAACTGGAAGCAGCAGCAGTTGGTTGAGCTGGGCCTGAGGACACATTCACTTCCCTTCCTCCTGGTCTTGGTCTCAGCCAGAAGCCTGAAGCACACTGGAGCAGACCCAAATACATTCCTGCCCCCAACTCAACTTAGCACTGCGGTCTAAAAAACACACACACATACAGGCAGAGGCTCTGTGCACGTTTGTCTGTCTGTCCATGGCTCCAGAAGCCCAGACAAACAGAGTCAACGAGAAAGCATGTCAGTGTCTTAAGTGTGTGAGACAGTGTGTGTGTGTGTGTGCCACGTCGAGTACAGTATGTGAGAGCATGAGCGTCCGTAGCTTTGTGAGGCATTGAGAGAGCACGTGACTATGGGATTGTGTGCACATGAGCATGCAAATATGGGCCTTGAATGTGCGTTTGTATGTGTGTGTGACCCTACTTCACCCTCCAGCTAGTAAATTCTATTAGACTGGCATCTAGAGGGAAAAAATCAAAAAAATGTGCTCACACTTCCAAATTATCTAGCTCAGAGGGAAGAAAGATTTATAGCCTGCAGCCTATAAACAACTTCTGACCAGATCTATAAAAAAGTACACACACACACAACCTCTCTTACACAGAAACATAATGATATGCACAGATATATCCACACACACAACTCACCCCCCACTCAAAACCTTATTTACAAATCAACCATCTTGTTAACTATGTTGGAGCAATACATGTCAAGACTTGGATAACATTTTCTAAAGTAGACTCCATAAATGGACTGCTCTGACCATGGCTGGTCACTGTTGAACTGTAGAGATTAAGCCACTACATAGCTCACAGGCTTGTGAGCAGGGTCACCAAGTTTGTTTTCAGGACAACAAGTGAGCTTTCTATAGTCCCTGTATTGGCGAACACATACCACTAGAGGGCAGTCAAACTCTGCATCACCAGCCCAAAGGCCTTCGTTCCTGGACAAATGAACAGGGAAGTTACGGAATTTGGAATAGACCACTGTTGGGAATTAAGTAACAGTTTGGAATTTGACCTGTGTGTCAGTGTTGAATTAAATTTCTCTTGAATTCAGTCAATTGAAATTCTGTTGAAAATACATTTAAATTAATCTCAGGAATTGACATCCCTGTTTTCAGTGTGTCCAGGAGAGAGCGGTGTTAGGCTGAGGCCTGTGGTGTTGGGTAAAGGAGGGTATCGGCAGGCGAGGCCCCAAACAGAGCCTCTTACCATACGTACCATATTCAGCTGGGCTGGTGCCTGGGTAGAAGCCTGGGGTGCCCGGCGGGACCGGGTACTGCTGAGGGGTGGCCACGTACGTTGACCGGTACTGAGGGAGAGACATGTCAGAATGGTTTAGATATAAGATCATCTAAACGTACATTGTAGAATGTTCCCCAAGCCCAGAGTATTCAAGGCAAGCTAAAGCTCTACTAAAAAATAAATGTTAAACTACAAAAGATGGAAAGGTTGCTAAGACAGCATGCCAACTAGTACTTGATTTAACTAATTCAACACACACACACACACACACCTCTACCTTTCTTTGTCCCACACACACACTTTAGTGTGGTTTTGATGGCCAACAAGCTGTGGCAGGCCTACCTCTCTTAATATCTAACTTACACCTCTCAACCACCCTCGAACACACAGTAACACCCATCCCGCTCTCTCTCTTTGGTGTTTTTAAGCGCTGCACAATCAGGAAGAGACTGGAGGGTCAGCTGATCGCCTGGCCATGGCCAGGGGGAGGGGAAAGGGGCTTTTGTCCCAGCACTGGCTCCATAGAGCCCCATAAAGCGGAGGCCAGACTCAGCAGAATCTGTCCCTGAGCCAGGGGGTCACCGGGGGGAGGCAGACCACTCCATGTGGGACCTCCCTCACAGACGGGGAGGGGGACTCCCTTGTTAGTTGCTACCAGACCAGAAATAGCATTTCCTTCATTTCCAAATACCATAGCTATGCTTGATTGAGCTTGCATGGCACAAAGGAACCAATAGAACAGCCCCAAAAGGTGTAGTGAATTTCTGAGTAAAGAGAATGAGAAAGTGGCCCCTAGTAAAGATGGAGCACCCTGTAGGAAGGGGCGGGTGTGTGTTAACCTGTCCGGGTATGAAGTAGGCGGGGCCTTGTTGGTTGGGGAAGGGGATCTGCTGTGAGGGGATTATCATCATCTGTTGGCCTGGCTGGTAGACGTGCGTGGGTGCCACGGTCCTCGGCGTGCTGTTCGGGGGCACCAGGGGGGCATTGCTGGGCCGGCTGTAGTATGGCTGGAGAGAGGGGAGCGGAGGAGAGGAGGAATGTCATGGAAGTGTCACATGTCCATAAGTCTCCTCTTTTGTAAAGAACGTTCAACAATAAAATTCAACCCAACTTTGAAAGGGCTATTATATTTCCCTTTGACATTACTTATGGCAGTTATAACCAAAACAATTTCAACAGTATGTTCTGACACTAACAGCCTGTTCATAAAGGCAGAATCCAAACCGCTAAAAACCGAATAATACTAGAATGTTCTGTGTTGCTTCATTTACATTCAGATGAGTCTCTTTAAGCAAAACTGAAGCCAAAAGAATGACGCCAGGACCACAGGCAGGAACAACTTCAGACAGACCTATTTTTCCAGGAGTCTAAGTGTTACCTGCAGTGACCTGAATCCTCCCTTCAGCAGCACATCACACAGACACCACATGAACACACACAAACACACACACAAGGAAGCAAGAGGGGTGAGAGCGGCAGTCAGTTAAATTGACAGAAAGCAGAGAACCTACCCCCACCACCCCAGCAGTGAATTAACAAGCAGCATGCATAAATGCAGAACACATCCCTAGTCCATTAAAAATGCAGGTGTGTGAGTGACTGTCCATGCGCAAAGCTAATGCGGAGCACAGAGTCTGTGTGAGTGGCGTGTCAGGGTTTCCGTTAGGAAAATGTGGCGCCGGCAACATTTTAATTTACCGGACATTTTAGAATTAGGGCGTCCATCCACATTGCTTAGAATGAAAAATCACATTTAGATTACGGTAACTCATGTTAACAGAACATGCAACAATGTGCGGTCCTTCTTACCAAATTCTGATGTGCACTTTGAACATGTTAGAACAACTGTCCACATTAACTTCTCCTCAGCCAACAAGATGAGTAACGAACAGCTAAATTACTTGCCTATGTCAATCTGCTATAGTAGAAACGTTCAGGCTACCTATTCTATTGGTCAGCTTGTAGCGAAATAAATAGCCTGTTCCAGACAGACTCTGGGAGTTGTGGGACGATAGATCCCAAATTCATACAACCAGCAGGACACATATTTATTTAATTTTTTAGAAAGAAATGGGTCGGGGCCTCCCGAGTGGCGCAGCGGTCTAAGGCACTGCATCGCAGTGCTTGAGGCGTCACTACAGACCTGGGTTCGATCCTGAACTGTGTCGCAGCCGGCCGCGACCAGGAGACCCATGAGGCGGCGCACAATTGGCCCAGCGTTGTCCGGGTTAGGGGATGTCCTTGTCCCATCGCGCTCTAGCAACTCCTGTGGCGGGCCGAGCACATGCACGCTGACACGGTCGCCAGTTGTTCTGTGTTTCCTCCGACATTGGTGTGGCTGGCTTCCGGGTTAAGCGAGCAGTGTGTCAAGAAGCAGTGCGGCTTGGCAGGGTCGTGTTTCGGAGGACGCACGGCTCTCGACCGTCGCCTCTCCCGAGTCCGTAGGGGAGTTGCAGCGATGGGACTACCAATTGCACATCACGAAATTGGGGAGAAAAATTAAATTAAATGGGTCTGATGCAACAGATCAGAACGTTTCGCATAAAATGTTGATAAACTATTATTTCTTCACATTATAATAGCAGCAATGAGCACAAGGCAGTAGTCTACACGGTTCGTTCCATAATGCAGTTAGTCAGAAAACAGGGCACTACACATAATAATATAATATGCCATTTAGCAGACGCTTTTATCCAAAGCGACTTACAGTCATGCGTGCATACATTTTTGTGTATGGGTGGTCCCGGGGATGGAACCCACTACCTTGGCGTTACAAGCGCCGTGCTCTACCAGCTGAGCTACAGAGGACCACACATGCAAGCAGTTTCATGTGACAGATGAAAATATCAGTTAGAAAGAGTAGATCTAATAGCCTACTTTGAAGTAAGGTAAGACATGCCTCATAATATACTGAACAAAAATATAAACATGTAAAGTGTTGGTCCCATGTTTCATTAGCTGGAATAAAAGATCCCAGCCACTTTCCATATGCACAAAAAGCTTATTTCTCTTAAATTTGGGGCATAAATGTGTTTACATCCCTGTTAGTGAGCATTTCTCCTTTGCCAAGATAATCCATCCACCTAACAGGTGTGGCATATCAAGAAGCTGATTAAACAGCACGATCATTACACAGGTGTACCTTGTGCTGGGGACAATAAAAGGCCATTCAAAATGTGCAGTTGTGTCACACACAATGCCACAGATGTCTCAAGTTGAGGCAGCGTTATATTGGCATGCTGACTGCAGGAACATCGTTTTAGAGAATTTGGCAGTACGCCCAACCAGCCTCACAACCGCAGACCATGTGTAACCACGCCAGCCCAGGACCTCCACATCCGGCTTCTTCACCTGCGGGATCGTCTGAGACCAGCCACCCGGACAGCTGGTGAAAACTGTGGGTTTGCACAACCAAAGAATTTCTGCACATACGGTCAGAAAACGTCTCAGGGAAACTCCATCTGCCTGCTCGTCGTCCTCACCAGGGTCTTGGCCTGACTGCAGTTCGGCATCGTAACAGACTTCAGTAGGCAAATGCTCACCAGTCATGTGAAATCCATAGATTAGGGCGTAATGAATTTTAATTGACCGATTTCCTTAAATGAACTGTAACTGAATTCCACTAAATTATGGAAAATAACCTGTAGACGATAAGCATGACCAGTCAAATGTATTTCCCATTGACTGGTACAGTATTTACATCAATCAATAGGCTAAAAAGCAATATGTAGCAATGATTCTCACGTTGTTTTTATTTTTACATTCTACTCCTGGACAACTGACCAGAGCCAATTTCATTTATCAGCTTTCTACTATTTTTTATTTTTATTTTTTTATAAATCGGACAAAAGCCTGCCATTACCAGCTAACGGAAACCCTGGTGTGTGTGTGTGTGAACATGACAAGTTCCCAATGAAGGCGGATCTCAGAGTCAAGACATCCCAGAATACTTTCTGAATAGGATTCTACAGCAGATTCAATCTCTTAGCCTCCCGTAATAAACATGACTGTAGGTTTTACAACATTCAGTGGTCAGAAACAGTTTAGTAAGACAGGAAGTGCAAGTGAAGAGAGAACTCTACACTGCCCATAATTCCAACCGAGCATACCCAAATCCCTGGTTAGGCTGTTAGTACCTGTTGGTGTAAAGCACGGGGCACAACTAGAAAAGGAGGGCAAGACAGTTCAGAGGTTAAACCCACATAGGACACCAGCTGGAGAGCAGCGGATACAACCTTCCTCCATAGACACACACACACACAGATAGGCAGGCATGGCACTGGGATCAACAAGAGGACTCAGAACACAATACAGGTCTCATCTGAGATCTGACAGAATTATTTTTCCTTCCAGCAGTAACGTTGACAGGTTGGAGTGTGGAACGTACACCCACTGAGCGCTAAAACAGTATGAGATGGAATCAACAGGAGAGCTTATTTGTAGGAAAGAGTGAGAGTTGACATGTAGCAGGATCTATATTCCTACCAATGGATTAAGATACTTCACTAGGGACAAACATCTGACAGTTGAAATAATAAGTAACGTCAGAGTTGAAGCTGTGGGGTGACGGAGGGAGTACCTGTCGGGGCTGTGGCGCTGGGTTCATTTGTGGAGGTGGGGTGGCAAAGACAACAGATGGGGGCTGTCCAGGAGGGAAAGTGGGCTGTGAAAGGGAGAGGAAATGAGGGGAGAGACTGATCAACAATATGGTTACTGATTGGACAAACCATGAGAGAAGATTGAAGCTCCAATCAAAACAGACAGTAGATTCCCCTTACTAGTTGGAGTCCGGGGGAGGACGCTGGGTGGGGGACAGAGGGGGATCCTGTTATAGGCTGTGGTGCTTTATTCATTTCATGTGGTTCTGCATGGGCGCACTCGGACCTGTACAGAAATCTGAGAGGAGGAAGAACAGGGTGGAGGAGGTGAAGAGAGAATCAGCGATGGACTAGAGAATGTGTTTAGGCTTTGTTGATCAGCACTCACACTTTGAACTGTGTTTAGTCCCAGGAACGGGAGCAGGGCTCTGTGGTGTGCCAACGTGGTGGTCGTCTGTCCTCTGATCAACCTGTCAGAAAGAGAGAGAAAGAAAAAAAGGTAAGATTGGACTCATAACTGAGATGACAGAGACAATGGTTTGGTACACAGGGGACACAATCCTATTCCCCAGGAGACAGGCATATTGTCTAGGGCTGGGAATTGCCAGGACCTCACAATATTTAGGTGCCGATACGATATTGCGATTATACAGCAACAGTCAAAAGTTTGGACACACATACTCATTCAAGGGTTTTTCTTTATTTTGACCATCTTCTACATTGTAGAATAATAGTGAAGACATCAAAACTATGAAATAACATAGAATCATGTAGTAACCAAAAAAGTGTTAAACCAATCAAAATATATTTTAGATTCTTCAAAATAGCCACCCTTTGCCTTGACAGCTTTGCACACTCTTGGCATTCTCTCAACCAGCTTCACCTGGAATGCTTTTCCAACCATCTTGAAGGAGTTCCCACATATGCTTAGCACTTGTTGGCTGCTTTTCCTTCACTCTGCCGTCTGACTCATCCAAACCATCTCAAATTGGGTTGAGGTCGGGGGATTGTGGAGGCCAGGTCATCTGATGCAGCACTCCATCACTCTCCTTTTTGGTCAAATAGCCCTTACACAGCCTGGAAGTGTGTTGGGTCATTGTCCTGTTGAAAAACAAATGATAGTCCCACTAAGCGCAAACCAGATGGGATGGCGTATTGCTGCAGGATGCTGTGGTAGCCATGCTGGTTAAGTGTGCCTTGAATTCTAAATACATCAGACTGTCACCAGCAAAGCACCCCCACACCTCCATGCTTCACGGTGGGAACCACACACACGGAGATCATCCGTTCACCTACTCTGCGTCACAAAGACACAGTCCATTGCTCGTGTTTCTTGGCCCAAGCAAGTCTCTTCGTCTTATCGGTGTCCTTTAGTAGTGGTTTCTTTGCAGCAATTCAACCATGAAGGCCTGATTCACGCAGTCCCCTCTGAACAGTTGATGTTGAGATGTGTCTGTTACTTGAACTCTGTGAAGCATTTATTTGGCCTGCAATCTGAAGTGCAGTGAACTATAATGAACTTATCCTCTGCAGCAGAGGTAACTCTGGGTCTTCCTTTCCTGTGGCGGTCCTCATGAGAGCCAGTTTCATCATAGCGCTTGATGGTTTTAGCGACTGCACTTGAAGAAACTTTCAAAGTTCTTGAAATGTTCCGTATGGACTGTCGTTTCTCTTTGCTTATTTGAGCTGTTCTTGCCATATTATGGAGTTGGTATTTTACCAAATAGGGCTATCTTCTGTATACCACCCCTACCTTGTCACAACACAACTGATTGGCTCAAACGCATTAAGGAAAGAAATTCCACAAATAAACTTTTATCAAGGCACACCTGTTAATTGAAATGCATTCCAGGTGACTACCTCATGAAGCTGGTTGAGAGAATGCCAAGTGTGCAAAGCTGTCATCAAGGCAAAGGGTGGATACTTTGAAGAATCTTCAATATAAAATATATTTTGATTTGTTTAACACTTTCTTGGTTACTACATGATTCCATGTGTTATTTCATAGTTTTGATGTCTTCACTATTATCTATATGTAGGCTATTGCGATTCGATACTGCGATTTTATTGCGAGCTGATGTTCCAAACATACCTATTGCTCACAATATGTCTGCTGCAGACGAGAGCAAGAGAAAATTAGTTTTGATCAGTCATGGAAAGAAAAAAAAAGTGTTGAAAAGATGTTGGCTTACTATTTAAAAAGATGGAGAACAAGCTATAGGATGAAAAATACTGGAGTTTTGGCACAGGTACAGCCGACTAGGGTTAGACTGGTTTTTTTCTTGATAAAAAATGGTGCTTAGGTGGTGGGTGGGGTGAAGCTGTGGCCAATGGAGCAGTCGCTGATTGAAAATTAAAGGCCCTCATTTGGCCGCAGTGACAAAACGTAGTATATTTTTTTTAAGCAAATGTCCTGCAATTCTACACATTTTGCCATGGCTTGTGCTATCTGAGTGACTAACATAACAAAATCAATGGAGGCCCCGCGCCATGACAAAAATACTCCCGAATGCATCATTTTTTGACTTTTAGATTCTCCCTGACGGTCAAGCTTTTATTTTGGCGATAGCTTCTTTTTTTTTACTGTTTGGACATAGGCGGCCCTCCAATACTTTTCTATGCAGAAAACACCCTGATTGATAGTTAAAGCTATCTAGCTTTGTTTTTTGTTTTTTTACACAAATCGATATGTAGAGTCAAAGTATCAATATAATATTGTCCAAAATAATATTGCGATATGTAACTAAATGTTTTCCCGTCCATCCCTACTATTGTCCTGATAGAATATGTTGGGTTTCACCTATTGGCCGTTCACTCTTAAAGTAACAGTAAACAGACTGTCCTGCCACACAAAGAGCAGTGGGGAAAAGCCCAGAGTCATGCTGAGTCAGTGTTTTTCTAAGAAGTGAAATACCACTTCTGTCAGGTGAAAGAAGCCAAAACACAAACACTGACTAAGGCAGAGGAGAAAAGCACACTAGACATAAACATTTACATTTTAGTCATTTAGCAGACGCTCTTATCCAGAGTGACTTACAGTTAGTGAGTGCATACATTTTTCATACTGGCCCCCCGTGGGAAACAAACCCACAACCCTGGTGTTGCAAGCGCCATGCTCTACCAACTGAGCTACAGGGGGAAAATGGACAGGTGGAATAGAAAACCTAAGAGAAACGTTGAAATAGACATTTTCCACTGATGCTACCACACCCTCAGAGCTCAGAACGGTGGGGGAGTTGGAAGGAAAATGGCAACGTCTCTAAAAAGGAGGTGCTGGTTGATTAAGGTCAGAAACTGAGAGTGAGATTGAGTTGACACTCTGGGGCTATAAAGGGCTCTCCACAGTCTATGCAAACGGAGGTCAGTTGACCTGAAGTTCCAGAAATTCAGCTGCACAAATGTACGTAGAACTACATAGAGTGATGCAAACAGACCTACCTCGGCTATGTTTGTGTAGAGCCCTTTAGAGGGTCTCCCTGTGCGCACCCTGACATACTCAAACTGACAGCAAGACAGCTAATGAAAGACTTTTCCAAAGGGGACCCTGGGACACACCCTATAGCAGAGACCTAAAACTGTTCCCTCAGAAAGGGATGATGGGGGAGCACTTGGCATTCATGAAGGCTACAGTTGAGTTCCCTGATGAGTGAACAGCGATGACCATATAGCGCATTCACCTCCTATTCCGGAGGTGCATACTACACCAACTCAGTATGTATCGTACTCCCGCAGTGAGGAACTGACTAGGCAGGGTAGCCCAAGGGACCAGGGGTTGGAGGGAGGGGGGATATGTGAAACCCAGCCAGGGGCAGGCAGCAGACAGAGCAGGATGAATGTGTGTGGGTTCGTTCATGTTCAACCACCAGCGCAACGGAAACCGATGCATAACCCCAATATGACCTAGTGAGGGTGGGAGCACAGAGGCCTAAGGCCCAAACTGTGGCCTTAACAAGGCTGAAAAAGTGTTTGTGTGCGTGTGTAAGTATGCACTAGCGGATAATTCTAGGTGTGCATCTGTGTGAATGGTAGCATCATGGGAAGTTTACAAAATGTTTTGTTATGCAGTCTCAACCCCCAAGAGCGCTGCAGGCAATTACTAAACAGTGGCATTGACGTGTTTAACGATTTAATTGCCAGCCTCTGATTCTCAGACATTGTTCACATATAATTTAGCCTACATGATAGTCGGCCTTAAATGCACTGGACTGCCTGTATGGACATGCACAAACACACTAGCTGGCACGACCTTTAAAGCAGGGTAACTCATAGCAACAGAAGTTTCAGAGTTGAACAGTAACAGCCAGGTCAATGGGCCGATGGCAGTGCCATACAAAGAAATGCATGTCTGTGGTGTAATGGAAGGAAACAAGACTCCTGTCAAGACTACATGAGTATCATTTTTCTATGTAACCCATAGCTTAAAATATATATACATCTCTCCAGAGTGACGCAGCGGTCTAAGGCACTACATCGCAGTGCTAGCTGTGCCACTAGAAATCCTGGTTCGAATCCAGGCTCTGTCGTAGCCGGCCGCGACCGGGAGACCCATGGGGCAGAGCACAATCGGCCCAGCGTCGTCCAGGGTAGGGGAGGGAATGGCCGGCAGGGATGTAGCTCAGTTGGTAGAACGATTCCCACGGGGGGCCAGTGTAAAATAAAATAAAATGTATGCACTCACTAACTGTAAGTCACTCTGGATAAGAGCGTCTGCTAAATGACTAAAATGTAAATGAAATAACAAGCCTTACGGGGGACATTGGGGGCCAATTGGCTCTATATTATTGTGGTGTGTCTTGTCCTAAAATTCTTGCTACAATGCCCTCATTCCAATCACTACTCATCAGCCAGATCCCATCCCAGAGAGCATTTCAAATTGAAATGTGATAAAGAACAACTTTACATATGTTGGGCAGAAGTTAATGATAAACAGTGTCCTCTGTACATTAGATTTGGATGATCAACAACATTCAGAACATCGCAGTTGAGTGATCTCATTCTCTACACCAGGGCTTCCTAAACCTTTTCATCCAGGACCAGACAGGTGTGCACTCCCGTTGTAGTCAATGACAATGGTGGTACACTTGGCAGGCTACAGCAGTTATTGGTTAGTGATTATCATCGTCATCACAATTCCACTACTATTATTGTTATTATTTACAATGATTGTAATTCAATATGAGAACCAAAGATATTCAGAGAAAGGACTAATAATGGGTTAAATATGGGATCATGGCTCGCCTGCCTCCTCAAGGTTCACGAGCTGGCTCTGAAGCGGCATCCATTTTGAGCCGAGGTTCACGTGTCGGTGAACGCAGTATATCGGTAATCACTTCTCTAATGCAGATGTTACTACAACAGAAAGGCAACTTGTCAGACATCCCTGCCAACAACGAATAACTGAGCAGTCAAACCAGACATTTGTATTATTTCCTACACTACATTAGCCTCTTAGCATTACAAGCCACACACCGGTCAGTTTTCATTCACGCACAACATACATAGCTTCACATTCACGAGACAACAAAAAAGCAGACCTGACGACTGTCACAATGCACACAGTAATATTGCTACCTACAGGCATGCAGGCTGCGGATAGTGGATAACTTTCAAACCCTCAGTTCTGCCAAGTTCCGATAACGTGAGACGATAAGGCGTGTAGGATGGCTACACTGTGCGGCGCCATGTTGCTCAAACAGCTTTTTCGGTCGTCACTAGTTACGACAGCCATAAAGTCATTACCCCGCCTATTTCTACAATTTACCCTAACCACACTGTTAACCTTATGACTACACTTAAATTATGACTAAAAGCAACAACGAAATCCATACATGTTTACGATATAGACAATTCTGACTTTGTGGCTGTGTTAACTAGCTAGTGGCAACCAGCTTTTCCCCAAAACCACTTTAGAGTTACCACGTGGTTGGTTCTCCCGCTTTAGCGCGCGCAGTAAGTGTGGCACAGTGCACAAGCAGCAGCCGGCTTCTCCTCTACTCTCTTATCGGGTTTAGATTTTCTAATTTGCCTGTTTTCAGCTTTGTTTGTTTGCCAACGCTTATATCAAACCCTAAACTGCATATGATTATGCAGGCTACCAAGCAAGTAGCTGATGAACGCTCAACTCAGCTAGCAAGCGGTCTCCCAAATACCGAAAAGATTAAGAATGAAAATATAGAAACTAACGTCTCTGTGGCAACTACTAGCCGGAAACTGATCAGCATCAGTGCCATTTCAACCGCAGGGTAGCATCCTCGTCATGCTGTGTCATCCTCTGAACATGACGCATGGGATCCAAGGATAAACTTACTTGCTAAGGTGAATCCTCCCACACTGTTCATGCATAAGAAATATGTATTCTCAGTTAACTGGGGCGGCAGGTAGTTTAGTGGTTAAGAGCATTGTGCCAGTAACCGAAAGGTTCTAATCCCCGAGCTGACTAGGTGAAAAATCTGTCTATGTGCCCTTGAGCAAGGCACTTAACCCTAATTGCTCATGTAAGTCACTCTGGACAAGAGCGTCTGCTAAATGACAAAAATAAAAAAATAAAAACAGATCCCACTATAACACATCCCTCTGTCAAATTACAAACGCCACAGTTAAATATGTGGGCCATATGCCGCAACTGGGAACTCGGAAATCTCCGACTTCAGTGCGTTCAAGACAACTGGGAACTTGGTAAAACCCGTTTTGAACGGTCATCTAAATCGGAATTCCAAGTAGGAAACTTTCCAGAGCTCAGACTTTCAGACCTGAAGAGCATTGGCGTCATGATTTGACCTCGTTTTTCCCCGAGTTCCCAGTTGTCTAGAAAACACCACATAAATAGTGTTCGCTAGCTACAACACAGCCGTACAGACTGGGAAGGCGACAAAATGATGCATCCTTAACCAGCACCAGCCAACTACCGGTACTTCAAATATAACATTACCAGGAACGATTGGGTTCAATGTCCATTCCTCAAGAATAAAATAACAGATATGGCATAACATTTGTTACTGAAAATAAGCAATCATTCACCCACAAACCAATAAAATTATAGGACAGTTTTTCATAACGTTAACTAGCTAAACTAACAAATTCAACGGACGTTAGCTAGCTACTTCAAATCAATACCAAAATGTCAAGACAGCTAACTAGCCGGCTAACGGCCGCTAGCTGCATATAGAAGATTGCTTACCAGAAATGTGCTAAAAGTTGAAGGGTAATAGCTAGCTAATAAAGGGATGAAAATGTTCTGGTTCCTTCTGTCTAAATCGTCTGCCTTCGTCAATTTTCTTTCGTAAGATAACGTTTACCACCTAGGAAGGGGGTGTCCTATCCCTTTTTGGGGTGGGGGTTGGTCGGGCTAGCTTAGGAAAAATCAGTCTGGGAAAGAAGCGACAGCTCGAGATACTGGGCTTAAAGTCCATTTAAAAGCGCGGATGAATGTGGATTGTCACTTGGTTGCTCACACAGTTCTGAATTAGCAAAGAATATAGTTGGAAACCTTAACTTTTCCCTTTCACTCCTTCAGTCCGCAGTCGGACGGAATGGACGGTCCCGGAAGCCAGTAGGTAGGCGGTAGCCAAATTCCGGTTTAATCAGTCATGTGACAGGGACGCCGGTGTGATTTTACCTACACGTTTTAGTTGAAACGATTAACTGCTGAACCACAAACTAATGTGCAGGACATTATTCGTTTAATATGAAACTTATTCATACACACACAATAAAACAAATTCATCACTAGTCGGCTAGATGGTTGTTTTTTCTTGCATGGGCGTGGCCAAAGTCTTGACTGTGATGTCAGTGTGCAGTCTGAAAGGTTTATCAAGATATGTAAAATGTATCGGTGTTCAATATGCATTTTCTTTCATTACATGTGTATTTCAAATGTTCAATAAAATACATAGATGTATCCATTGTCTTCAACGTTAAGCAAGTATGCAGACCTTTGCTGCAGTGAGGGTTCATGACCAGTGTCACCTCAGTTCCTCCTCTCCACTGCTCAGTTTCATCATTAGCCATCCAGATCTGCAGGCTGTTATGAAGCTTCATAAAAAATTACTAATCTTTCAGAAACGTGTCCCTCATGACAAAGAACAGACCCGGTGATAGACAATTTCACCAAGTGGATCTGAAACTTTTATTATTTTAACCTTTTACAGTACTGTAACAAAACCTACAAAACAAAAGAAAAAACTGGATGATGAAGGACACATTTTCCATGCTCTAATTACAAAAGGAGGTTGTCATGGGTGGGAAAGAGAAACTAGTTGTAGTATTGATGCAGACTGAGCTTATGTTGTTCATCAGTCCAATTCTGATCTTTTTTCACTAATTGGTCTTTTGACCAATCAGATCAGCTCTGAAAAAGATCTGATGTGATTGGTCAAAAGACCAATTAGTGGAAAAAAAAGATCAGAATTGGGCTGCCTGTGTAAAAGCAGACTTGGAGGCTGAACTAGAAACCGGGAGAGGCTGAACAAAGTTCGCTCCTGATGGCTGACCCTAGATCAGTTAAATATTTGTGGAGCCTAAAAAGAGATGGTTTAATACATTTATGTGGAACTGATCCTAGATCAGAACAAAGAGGAAACCAATCTAAACAGTGTGAATGAGGTCCCAGTTTCCACTCCCTGCTCCAGTCAGTTTGACCACCCAGAACACAACCATATATTTTCACAGATGGAGAGAAGCTGTTGACAAGAAAAAGAGGGCTTCCTGGCTCTTTTCAGACATGGAATAAAGTAGTGAGGTCTAAAAGAGCCAGGGAGGGCTATCCATGCTACCAATGAGAGACTGGTAAGGAGAGTAGGGTGAGGACCAGGGGAGGACAATAGAGGGAAATCTAGGCATCGTAGTTGGGGTTCTTGCGGAGGATGACGAAGCCCTCCAGGATGGGGGTGACGGGGAGATACTCCTCTGTGGCCAACTCTGCCCTCTCTCCGTGGGCCAGGAGCACCGGCGTGGTGTGGGTCTGGAAACCTGTGATGGCTTTGGGCTTACCGGCCTGGCCAACCACGTCCACCGCCTACGGACCAATTACATACATGAACCATGAGGTCGAGTCCACTCTGCCATCATCTTATAGCATTTCATCCTAATCTTGAGTGAAAAACGTTTGCACATCTAGACGTTACTTCGCAATGGAGATGTTCAACCATAGTTAAAATGAAAATCTCCAGCACATTTCACTTGCAAAGCATCACGTCATATCGTGCTGACGTTTTGGCCTTCGTCACACCATCTAGGCTACATCCTCAACTAGCATTGTATTTTGAATATGAAGCTAATCCTCCAGGCTCTTATTAAGAGCATAGTGGGAGCAGCAGTCCTTACCTGTCCCACCCTGACGGACACGGGCAGCGGCCTCAGCTCCTCGTCGAAGGTGACCAGCATACGGGGCTGCATGGCAGCCACCAGGCCATAGAGAACGTAGTGAGACTTCCCCAGGATTACTGCAGCACACACAGGAAACAGCATGGGGCGATGTCAACACAAACAGCCAAATACTCAGACCCAGGTCAAGGCATTTAGAAGACTTACTACCCTAAAAGAAAGACAGTGGAACTAGCTGGGTAAGGGCCAATGCCATTCAGGAGTTGAACAATTGCTAATTGTTTATGTGGAATTTTCCATCCGTACATTGAAATTCAGTTCACTTCCTCAAATTACTCAAAAGAAATGGACTTCACCCCCAACCCTAAACACAAGGATGTGGAAAAAGGGAGGGGAGGGAGAGGCAAATAAAATGAGTGGTGAAGAGTGGAGTAATGAGGAAAAGGAGAGGGACTCACTGTTCTTGACGTCAAGGAAGGAGACGAGGACAGTGAGTAGTCCTGCCACGGCCACCTGACTCATCAGCTGCCTGTCACTGTGGTACGGACACAGCGTCAATGTCCCTTTACCCAGGTGAGTCAGACCCTGTGGACATGGCACAGAGCAAGGGTTAGGAGACAGAGACACATACTCTCCCTCTCTCTCAAACACACAGCTTAGAGTGCCAAAGTGGCACCTCTTTTTGCTACCCACCTGTGCCAATCGGACCATAAAGAGGTTGTTGGGGTCTTTGGCATGGTACTGAGCCAGCTGCCTCAGCATGGCAGCCAGGCGGGCATTGTTTGTTCCTGCGGACAGAGGGTTGGAGCCATGAGTCAGTGAGTTGATACTTTTTCATGGACAAGGAATAATTACAGGGGAACATTGTGATAACTTAGTGAATCAAATCTAAATAACTTTGAACATCTCAATATAATAATGAAGCCACTGACTGATTGGGTTCCAGACAGTAGGCACACAATAGAGGCCATTGGCCAGTAATGCCAGGGCCCACTCACCGCTGCCCACCATGCCCATGGCAAAGATGGAGTTGTGGGAGACCTCTGGGTCAGCATCGTGGGAGAACTTGCTGAGTGTGTCCAGGATGTTGAGGCGAGGATTCGACACAGAGATCAGGGCCAAGGCTAGAGGCACCGCACGCCTCAGAGTAGGCTCTCCATACCGCAACTAGGAGAGTGAGTGAGGTGGAGAGGAGGAAGGCAAGACAATGGAGAGATAAAGAGAAAAACAGTTCGACGTGGGATGGTCGGATCGAGTGAAAGAGACAGGGGCTAAATCAACCCCTAACATGTCCTGAAAATGTGTTGAAGCCAAATGGTGTGAACAGGTCAGAGGTTATACTGACCAGGTGTCCAAACGTCCGTAATGCCATCTCTGAGCCAATCTCTTCTCCCATGGCAATGAGTGCAATACCCAGGACAGCCACACCCTGGGAGGGGGAAGCAGACAGCAGATTAGTTCAATATCAAATCTTCATTCAAACCACTCAGATTGTATTTTACATTTTTAGTCATTTAGCAGACGCTCTTAACCAGAGCGAATTACAGGAGCAATTAGGGTTAAGTGCCTTGCTCAAGGGTACCGACATATTTTTCACCTAGTCGGCTCGGAGATTCAAACCAGCGACCTTTCGGTTACTGGCCCAACGCTCTTAAAACGCTAGGCTACCTGACACCCCTTGATTAACAGAAGCCTGGCATACCTGGTGGGAGCCCATGTCGGCTGCACTCTCCTTCTTGTCTTTGTCCTTCTTGTCCTTCTTGTCTTTTTCCTCCTCCTTCTCCTTGGCTTCATAGTGCTCACTGCAGATGTGGAGCAGCTGCTGCACCTTCAGTACGTTACCAGAACCTGGCATTGAGAGAAACAGAGATAAATATAGGAAAGCCACCTCTTGTAAATCTCAAATGAGATCACCTGTATAAATAAATATGCAAATAAAAAAGAAGACAATTGGAGACAAAATGCTAAAGCTGGAGCTATGATGAGTGACCTGCGTAGGCACAGACGTCCACCAGTGTGTTGGCAAAGCTGCGGAAGGGCTCAGGCACCACCTGCAGCGCTGCCAGGGTCGTCTCAATGGCCTCCCCTTTACCCAGGTGGTTGAGGCCCAGGCCCAGCGGCAACCAGCGGGCATATGTGTCTTTCAGCTCCAGCTCACTCTTCTCCATGATGGTCTGGACGATGGTGGAGGTGACGTCACCGTTACACGAGCCCACCGCGATCATACCGCACGCCAGCGCCGTCACACCTGCCACCTGAGTGTGTGTGACAAGACACGTAACATGGGACAGTGAGCTGGGTTTAATGAGTGTGGATGTGTACTTGACTTAAACCCAGACAAACTGTGGAACTACACACACAGTACCTCCATGCTGGACTTGGAGTCTACCATGACGGGCAGCAGCAGAGAGAGGACGTCCTCACGGTTCGAGCCAGCATACGCTAGGCCCAGGCTGGGGATAGAGAGGAAAGGTCAGGCACAAACCCCACCTAAACAAGTACTTTTCACAGGCAGAGATTACACTGTGCTAAGAATGGACTAAACAGACCTCAATAAAAATCTTTAATGTGTAAGAGGTGTCAGGCAGTTGGGGCTAGGGGTTGATTTGGGACAGAACATCCATTTACTTCTCTCCTTACCCGAAGATGGCTCCTATCCGCATGACGTTGCTGTTGTGGAGGACGTAGTCTGACAGCAGGGCCAGGGCCGGGTCACACTCGTTCCTCACCCCAGAGTTCACTATGCCACAAGCCAGGAGGGCCCCCGACTACAGGGAGAGAGAGAGAGGAGGGAAGAGAGAGTGTGGGAGACATATCTACATTAATAGGATGTTTAGGGCTTTTCTGGATGCTGTGAAGGTTGTGGTGAGGAGGTTTTAATGCAGTGTGTGTGCTGACCTTAATGTAGTCCTCTGAGGAGTAGAGGTATTTGTCTATCTGTGTCAAACCACCGTCCACATCCCACAGCAGGATCATCCCCAGAGAGGCTGCAGCACTCAGCATACCTGGAGAGAAACACAGAATTAGCATCAACATTTACACAACAGCAATATGTTATTTTTGTTACTGTGCTTGCCATTAAGGATTAGCAATGAAGGTGATCACTGTCGAACCACTAAACATGAACCAATTTTCAGTCAAATCCCCCAAATGTGAACCATGAGCCCCATTTGAAGACAGGGATGTGAGGCTGTGTGTGTGGGGGGGTTCTCTCACCATGGTCTTTGTTCTTGTACAGCCATTTGTTGCCATCGTCTGTGAGCAGCTTGTCCTGTCCGAACCCTGCGTTGACGAAGCCGTTGACAAACGAGGAGGCCAGGTTCATACGAGCAGAGTCCACCTGGGAACCACTTCCTCCAAACCCTGACAGAGACAATGGCATGATGAGAGGGAGGATGAGGAAAGAGGAGTGTGATATAACAACCAGGACAATCAGTGTGCTGTTGTAGTGAAGGAGAACTCACGGTTGTTCTCCAGGTGGGTTTTGTAGATGTCATCTGGGACTTTGGGTTCCATGATGTCCAACTGTAAAGAAAGGGAACCGTGTGTTACTGGCTGCCTGGTGCTGAGTCATAGCCACTAACAGGCTTAATGTCTTTCACTAATTGGTTTATTCACTATACCAGCCATTCATTATCCTCCAGCCTCATCTCTTCTCTCACTCTATGCACCATTATTCTCCCACCCTGACCCCTGACCCCTACCCCACTCTTCTCTTAGTAGCTTCTTCAAGCCTCCTCCATTTCCCCCTCTCCACAATATCAAATGGAGCGCGGTCCTGACTCATCTCTAAACGTCATATTCATCTCTCCTTGGCCCTACTCTAAACACCTTCTCTTCTCTAACATACACTCAGCCCCCACTGTCAGACAGTCACACTCCATCCGCTGACTTCAACAGTGACCCACTCCTCAGTCCTGCTCTGAACAGTCTCACTCTTCCAACCCCCTCCCCTCTCTAGTAGTCTACCCATCTTCCCTCTTTCTCTCCTCTAAACCCTCTCTCCTCACCTCTCGGGCCAAGGCCAGGAAGTTGCTGTTGAGCTGGACGTTGGACATGATTTCCGTCAGGTCCTCGTAGTCCTCCACGTCCTCGTTGAGCTCCAGGAACATGCCGTGTCGTCCCAGCATGAAGGCCATCTCCTTCTGGATCACGCTACAGGAAAACACCCACTAAACGGTAAGCTCTTCATGCACGTCATTAACTATGGAAAACACTGCTGATTGCATTCCCAATGACTGTCAGTTGAAAATGTGAATAATGATTAGAAAGAAAATACTGTTTACCAATATAGGTTGTACAGGGACCAAAATAAAGGAAACACCAACATAGTGTCTTAATAGGGCGTTGGGCCACCACTAGCAGCCAGAACAGCTTCAATGCGCCTTGGCAGAGATTCGACAAGTGTCTGGAACTCTACTGGAGGGTGTGTTTTGTTGATGGTGGTGGAAAACGCAGTCTCAGGCGCCGCTCCAGAATCTCCCATAAGTGTTCAATTGATTGAGATCTGGGGACTGAGACACACACCCCTTTAAACCCCCTATGCTCCTTTGAGATACCTCTTTCAAAGTCACTGAGATCTCTTCTAGCCATGTTCGTCAAAATAATGGGAAACCCTAAGCATGATGAGATGTTTTAATTGCTTAATTAACATAGGAACCACACCTGTGCGGAAGCACCTGCTTTCAATATATACTGAATAAAAATATAAACACAACATGTAAAGTGTTGGTCCCATGTTTCATGAGCTGAAATAAAAGATTTTCCATTTGCACAAAAAGATTTTCTCAAAAATGTTGTGCACAAATTTGTTTACTTCCCTGTTAATGAGCATTTCTCCGTTGTCAAGACAATCCATCCACCTGACCAGTGTGGCATATCAAGAAGCTGATTAAACAGCATGATCATTACACAGGTGCACCTTGTGCTGGAGACAATAAAAGGCCACTATAATGTGCAGTTTTGTCACACAAAACAATGCCACAGATGTCTCAAGTTGAGGGAGCATGCTCACTGCAGGAATGTCCACCAGAGTTGTTGCCAGATCATTTTGTGTTCATTTCTCTACCATAAGCCACCTCCAACATTGTTTTAGAGAATATGGCAGTACATCCAACCGGCCTCACAACCGCAGAACACGTGTAACCATGCCAGCCCAGGACCTCCACATCCGGCTTCTTCACCTGCGGGATTGTCTGAGACCAGCCACGCGGACAGCTGATGAAACTGAGGAGTATTTTTGTCTGTAATAAAGCCCTTTTGTGGGGAAAAACTCATTCTTTGGCTGGGCCTGGCTCCCCAGTGGGTGGGCCTATGCCCTCCCAGGCCCACCCATGGCTGCTCCCCTGCCCAGTCATGTGAAATCCATAGATTAGGGCCTAATTAATTTATTTCAATTCACTGATTTCCTTATACGAACTGTAACTCAGTAAAATCATTGAAATTGTTGCATTTATATTTTTGTTCAGTATACTTTGTTTCCCTCATTTACTCAAGTGTTTCCTTTATTTTGGCAGTTACCTGTAGGTAGCACTTGTTGCAAAAGTGTTGCTGTGAGATAAGTGTGAGAGAGAGTGCAGTGAGTGTGTTGTGTCAGTCCTTACATGTCTTTGCAGGAGGTGAAGATGTTCTCCACCAATTCCACATCGTTGAGCATCAGGGCCAGCCTCAGGGCCTCTGGGTAACGGTTAAACTTCCTGAAGATGTTCAGGGAACACTTCAACAGGGCAGAGTTCTCTGGCTCAGGGACATAGCTCACACAGCTGGCATGGAGAGAGAGGAGAGAGAGAAGAGAAGGGTTTAGGATTACTGATGAGAGGAACTTCCTTTTGTCTCTTCAGGCTGATGTTGGCACACTACAGGTATGTTGAGGCAGAGGCAAACTGTGGTACAGGTGTTTGAACATGTCTGTGTGAAGGTACATATGTTTGCCCCTCACGTGGTAAGGTGTGTGTTGTCCACTCACCTGGTGAGGTAGAGGCAGACCTTGGCGTATGCATTATCATCTATGTAGAGCTCCAGCATCTCCAGCCTCTCGATCTCCATCAGCAGGTCACAGGCCTCGTGCTCAGCGTTGTGGGCCATGTTGTAGGGCACAATCTCTTTCACCAGCTTCAGCAGAGTCTCCTGCTGCGTCTTATCACTCTCCTCAACCTCCTGCCACTCCTTGGCCACCTCGCCCGCCAGGTGCCTATACACACACAGAGTTTGGGTCAGAAGACTAGGGCCGGAACAATACCAGTATCGCGGAAAGGAAATATTGAACTTCTTTAGGAAAACTGCCCAAATGTTGGAAACAAACATCCAGAGTCACATTTATTTATTTTCCAAGCTATAGCACACAATAATTTACATACAGCAGGTTTTTAAAGGACCAAAAGTTGGTCTTCTTCATTTTTTAATTTTTGCCATGGAAAAAAATCTCAATACTGGTATTGTCACAGGCCTAGGTCAGACCACACAAACTGCCTACTCCTGCAAGGTATGGAGGCGAATTCTAAGTCAAATTTGTACTTAGTCTTCCATTGGTATCAATGCATGACTAAGTGAAATTCTACTTAAGTAGAAGGTAGGATTCACCCTTGTGTTGTTAGCCGTTTGGAATGGCCTCACGTATCCTACCTGACATATTCATGTCCCCAGGACGCCAGCTCCTCCTGGGAGCCCAGCAGACGGTACTTCAGACACTCCCGCTCCCCACTCATTGTCATGGCCAAGACCGACACCACATCTGCACAGAAACTCTGCAAAAACAAAACAGACAGTAGTTAGACGTTTCCATAATGACACAGTTATGATGGGTCCTTCTGAACATGAATCCCTAGTTCCATCCAGAATTGCGATGTCCAATTTACTAGGTATCTATCCTTGTTTTCTTGTCTGTATCTCCAGTAACATTGTAAAAGAAATCCATCCAGACTTTTGCACTGTGGTTATAAAGTAAAAGCAGACAGGGAAAGGAAGCGATAAAGTAGTGGAGCCATCCCTCCCTCTTGTTTTCCCCACTGTCACGGTTAGCCATTTAGCAAGGACATAGCCATCGGTGTTCCCACCTTGTTCTCGCCAGGCGCCATGCCCTCGTAGATCTCTTTGAGCTTGCCATAATGTGGCCGCAGGAACTTCAGGGGCTTGGGCACAGAGGTCATGGAGGTGGTGGAGGAGCGGATCTGCCTGCGCAGCTCCTCTAGAGCAGGCCGGTACAGAGACGTGTCCGTCTCCTGTGGGTGGGTGAGAGAGAGAAAAGGGGCAGGGGGATATACATTGCATAAGTAAAAACAATGTTGTTTTATATGCATAGCTACCAAAGACTTAATGCAGCGCATGTAAATTACTGACTCTCTATACTAACGCCTTATGTACAGTAAAATAAATAAGAATGTAAAAAGCTATAGTCCCAGAGTGTCTAAAGCAAACCAGACTTTAGCAGAGGTTTAGCAGTTCTTGTGGTACTCACACCAAGTCTCTCCACCATCATCTCCAGTTCTTCTTGCAGCTGTTTGTCCTCATCAGACTGGAGAGAGAAGAGAGGAACTGACATTACAGTATGACAGATTCAATATGGGCAATTGAATAACCGAACCCTTCACAGTAAACAGTAAAAAATAACAGGTCTTCCAACAGGGAACTAATGCAATAAAAGGATCTGCAATTTGCTAACTGCTAGATATTGGAGCATTTTGTCATACACCGGTCCTATACCATTGTCGACTGATGGTAGGGTTGCCCTGATAACTATGTCTGTAACCTTGCCTCCATTGTTATGGTGCTTAAAATTGGCTAATGTCAATGTACTCGCTAATAAGCCATACAAACCTCTATGTAAATAGCTAGCTAACTAAACAAATAACACGTAATAACTATAGCCACCTCGCAATCAAAGATAATTTCAAATCTAACTAGCTACGCTGTCTCAAGAAAATCTGATAACGACAGGCAGGTTGCTGCAGTTGCAAAGTCACTAGCTAGCTAACGTTACAGTACTGTAGCTAACCGTTAGCTACAGTGGCTTGCGAAAGTATTCACCCCCCTTGGCATTTTTCCTATTTTGTTGCCTTACAACCTGGAATTAAAATAGATTTTTTGGGGGTTTGTATCATTTGATTTATACAACATGCCTACCACTTTGAAGATGCAAAATATTTTTTGGGGTGAAACAAACAAGAAATAAGACAAAAAACAGAAAACTTGAGCGTGCATAACTATTCACCCCCCCCAAAGTAAATACTTTGTAGAGCCACCTTTTGCAGCAATTACAGCTGCAAGTCTCTTAGGGTATGTCTCTATAAGCTTGGCACATCTAGCCACTGGGATTTTTGGCCATTCTTCAAGGCAAAACTGCTCCAGTTCCTTCAAGTTGGATGGGTTCCGCTGGTGTACAGCAATCTTTAAGTCATACCACAGATTCTCAATTGGATTGAGGTCTGGGCTTTGACTAGGCCATTCCAAGACATTTAAATGTTTCCCCTTAAACCACTCGAGTGTTGCTTTAGCAGTATGCTTAGGGTCATTGTCCTACTGGAAGGTGAACCTCCGTCCCAGTCTCAAATCTCTGGAACACTGAAACAGGTTTCCCTCAAGAATTTCCCTGTATTTAGCGCCATCCATCATTCCTTCAATTCTGACCAGTTTCCCAGTCCCTGCCGATGAAAAACATCCCCACAGCATGATGCTGCCACCACCATGCTTCACTGTGGGGATGGTGTTCTCGGGGTGATGAGAGGTGTTGGGTTTGCGCCAGACATAGTGTTTTCCTTGATGGCCAAAAAGCTCAATTTTAGTCTCATCTGACCAGAGTACCTTCTTCCATATGTTTGGGGAGTCTCCCACATGCCTTTTGGCTAACACCAAACTTTTTTCTGGCCACTCTTCTGTGGAGCTTTGCAGCTCCTTCAGGGTTATCTTATCTAAGCATCAGTTGTCAGATCAACTTACCGATCACTGCACCTGTAGACAGCCATTCTGAAATTAGCCCACCCAACTACCTCATCCCCATATTGTTATTTATTTTGCTAATTTGCACCCCAGTATCTCTATTTGCACATCATCTTTCGCACATCTATCCTTTCAGTGTTAATACGAAATTGTAACTATTTTGCACTATGGCCTATTTATTGCCTTACCTCCATAACTTAATACATTCGCACACACTGTATATATATTTTCTGTTGTATTTTTGACTTTGTTTTGTTTACCCCATATGTAACTCTGTGTTGTTGTTTTTATCGCACTGCTTTGCTTTATCTTGGCCAGGTTGCAGTTGTAAATGAGAACTTGTTCTCAACTGGCTTACCTGGTTAAATAAAGGTGAAATAAAATAAAAAAATCTTTGGTCTCTTTGTTGCCTCTGATTAATGCTCTCCTTGCCTGGTCCGTGAGTTTTGGTGGGCAGCCCTCTCTTGGCAGGTTTGTTGTGGTGCCATATTCTTTCCATTTTTTGGGATGTTCAAAGTTTCTGATATTTTTTTATAACCCAACCCTGATCTGTACTTCTCCACAACTTTGTCCCTGACCTGTTTGGAGAGCTCCTTGGTCTTCATGGTGGTGCTTGCTTGGTGGTGTTGCAGACTGGGGCCTTTCAGAACAGGTGTATATATACGGAGATCATGTGACAGATCATGTGACACTTAAAGTCCACCTGTGTGCTATCTAACCAATTATGTGACTTGTGAAGGTAATAGGCCCTTTTCACGTGACGTCAGACAACTTCCGTTCTGCCGCGATGCAGGTTATGTTTACATCCGGTGTCGCTTAGGAACGCTTAGCTAGTAGCACATCATTATGGAGTTCACCCAGTCCCTTTCACATCTGCCACCAATACGACTTAACGACGTAGAACGACTTGCTGACAAGTGGTCCCTTACTTCAAGATCGAAGCTTGATAAAGGCTACAAGTTCTTCGTTGAAGGTTACCTGTTTGATTATGAAGGTACGTGTTTATCTTTATTTAGCTTAAATTAGCCCTATGCTAGCGAAGGTTATGAGCTGACGAGTTTCTGTTTTGCAGCCTCTTTTTAATATTACTGCTGTTTGTATCGACCGTAAGATAAGAGTCAGTAATGTATTAATGGCTAATGCTGCGCCCTTTCTCCCAATCACTGTATTGAAACAGTCTCAAGTGTAGTTAACGGTGAGGTGACAGTGAGAGGGCGATGTTACAGGTCCATGAAGAAAAATGAGGAGGCTCATCGGCTTCAGGTTTCTCAGATAAACAGTTCTCTAACATTATGATAAGATAGGTTAAGATAGATAAGTTTTCTTTTTGTTGTGTTTTGCTGCGGTTGCAGATTTAATAAGAATGATTCCACAAAGTTCCACTGTGGATCAGTTTGTTTCTCAGTCTGAGCTCTGATTTTGTATCATTAAACTTAATACACAACGAAATTCTTACAAACCGATGTGGGTTGTTGACGGCAATAAAGACTGGGAAAGATTCTGTGATAACTCAAAATGTTCAAATTTTCGATAAGTGTTGGCACTACTTGTCAAAGGTTTCAGAACAGCCAATTTTTCTTAATTAAAAAAAGAAATTGGGTTTTGAAAATTGTGTACAGTAGTTTATAATGAAACGCAGAAAAAATGTTTTGTAAGTACAGCACTAATTGTTATGTCTCTATGAACAGGTTACACTAGACTCTGCAGAGGTTCCTGTGGTACTCAATCACATGTCATGTTCCTGCTCTGCTGGGAAAGCACTATGTAATCACATAGTAGCACTTCTTTTTCAAAGTGCTCACTATGTTACCATGGGCTTTAAGACAGTGCCATTGCCTCTGTCATGCACCAGCGCACTGCAGACCTGGCACCGGCCTAGGACACAGGTCAGACATTATTTGTTACACTGATGCAGAACTTTGCAGTTTGTATTGACTTTTGACAATGTATTGTTCATCATTATTATATCACAGGGAATTGTACCAGAGGCCACCAATGATATGGCGGTGTGTAAACCAGCGGCTAAGAAAAAAACAAGTGTCAGAGCTGGTGTGATAAACTAAACTAACTGCCTAACAAAGGGTTAGATAGCTAGCTAAGTAAACTTGTTACATTACAGCCAGGCAGCAATGTAACGCTACCTTTTAACGTTATCGGTATCTGGTACTAAGTTGTTGTTAGCTAACGTTAGCCCACTTTTAAGTAACTAAGGCAGTGAACAATTATGAATTAACAATAACGTTAGCAAGTTACAAACCATTGCATATACGTAAACATTATTACTCTTAACTTTACTAATTTAACTTAAACGTACCTTTTGGAATTTCTTCAAGTAGCTAGCTTGCTAGTTAGTGGTCAACAGTTGTATTTTCGTTGAGAAGTCTCAGGTTACGGGCGAACGGAAGTGAAGTTAACCTGCTACGCGGAAAGGCGGAAGTTAGATGACGTCATCGTGAAAAGGGCCTATTGGTTGCACCAGATCTTATTTAGGGGCTTCATAGCAAAGGGGGTGAATACATATGCATGCACCACTTTTCCCGTTTTTTATTTTTTTGAAACAAGTTAATTTTTCTCATTTCACCTCACCAATTTGGACTATTTTGTGTATGTCCATTACATGAAATCCAAATAAAAATCCATTTAAATTACAGGTTGTAATGCAACAAAATAGGAAAAACGCCAAGGGGGGTGAATACTTTTGTAAGGCACTGCAACAACATCAGCGAACTGAGATAGCTATTTGGATTATGGTTGTTTACAATGCAACACTAACGTTCTTTAGCTAGTTAACGTTACATTATTGTCACTTGGCTAGCTAGCTACTTAGCTAACTTTTAGTTTAAATATCGGTAGATACTTTCTGGCGTGTCATTTGTGGCGTGTGGTCCTCTGTAGCTCAGCTGGTAGTGCACGGCGCTTGTAACGCCAAGGTAGTGGGTTCCATCCCCGGGACCACCCATACACAAATAAAAATGTATGTACGCATGACTGTATGTCGCTTTGGATAAAAGCGTCTGCTAAATGGTATATTATATTATATTAGCAATTGTTAGTTAACGTTAGCTAGCACCGGCTAGCACAGCCAGCTACTACTACTACTACTACTACTACACCCTAGGCTAGCAAGCTAACGTTAACATTAGGTATGCTAACGTTGGCTAGGTTTATACGTGTTTTATAGCTCGCTTTCAGTCGGACACAATAATCGTAATTGTTGGCACTTTGTACTCAGCCAGCCATGTCATACTTTTCATTAAAGAGGACTCAAACAGTTCGTTATTATTTTTAATGACAACGCTTTCGGCCTGTTCAAACAGGCAGTGAGTGACTCAGGCAAAAACGCTGCTCTGCTTCCCTTGTTCAAGATGTTGAGAAAAGTGCCCCAACTCACCAGTTCTTGCTCTTCTTTTTTATCCTTGTCCTTCCCTGTGGGCTTAGTCTCCTTATCCTTTTCCTCTGTCTTTTCGGACTGTTTTTTCTCTTTATTTTTTGTCTCCTCCATGGTTGCTGTTTTACGAAATTCGCCTACAGATACACTGAACAACCAGAGACCGGGGTACACGGCTTCCTCTCTTCAAGAAC